CACGAAGCAGGTGTAAAGTCGACACGAAGCAGGTGTAAAGTCGACACAAAGCAGGTGTAAAGTTGACACAAAGCAGATGTCAAGTCGACACGAAACAGGTGTAAAGTCACACGAAGCAAATGTAATGTCGACGCAAAGCAGGTGTAAAGTCGACACGAAGCAGGTGTAAAGTCGACACGAAGCAGGTGTAAAGTCGACACGAAGCAGGTGTAAAGTTGACACGAAGCAGATGTCAAGTCGACACGAAACAGGTGTAAAGTCAACCCGAAGCAGGTGTAAAGTCACACGAAGCAAATGTAATGTCGACGCAAAGCAGGTGTAAAGTCGTCATGAAGCAGGTGTAAAGTCGTCACGAAGCAGATGTATAGTCGTCACGAAGCAGGTGTAAAGTCGTCATGAAGCAGATGTAAAGTCGTCACGAAGCAGATGTAAAGTCGTCACGAAGCAGGTGTAAAGTCGTCACGAAGCAGATGTATAGTCGTCACGAAGCAGGTGTAAAGTCGTCACGAAGCAGATGTAAAGTCGTCACGAAGCAGATGTAAAGTCGTCACGAAGCAGGTGTAAAGTCGTCACGAAGCAGATGTAAAGTCGTCATGAAGCAGGTGTAAAAGATCAATTCACTGGACCAGAATGCTGAACCTGAATAGCAGAAATTTTAATGTTAATAATAATAATAATAATATTAACAATGATAACGATAATAATAATAACAATAATAATTTGTGCCTGACTTTAGATGTGTATTTTTCATCCTCTCAGTCAGTGAGAGGAACAAATCTACACAAACCACAAATATAATTTAATTCCATGTTGAAGAACAAGAACATATCTGGACCATAAGGCATCACTAAGTAAATACTGACTGAGCATCAGTAACTGTAAGAAGATCAGACCAGGTTCTCCCTGAAGATCTTAAAGTTCTGATCCGATGGTTCTGTGGTCGCTCAGAGCATAATGTGAACCTGACGGGACTCGGGGGGGACAGTCCACGGTTCTGAAACAACATGGGTCACACATTTTGGCAGAAACAAACAGATGTGTGTCACTTTTCCCTGCGGTGAGTGAAGCCCTGCAGTTCAGTCAGGTTACATTTATTCCAATATTTAATCATTTATTCACTGTGAATATTAAAATAATTAAAAATGATCTTCGGCAGGGGAAATTCATTTCTTCCAGCAGTTTGAAAACACAAACATGAAAAAGGAAGAGAGTACAGAAAATAAATCAAATGAAGCAAAGAGACACTTTAAATCAATAAAAGGTAAATGATTGTAATCGGGACATACAGTATACAGTTATGTGTGTATATAGATTTATACTTGATGTTTGTACTGATACAGTATCATTCAAATTACTATTAATTTAGTTAATATAAATGGTTGGATGTAAATTTTAACGTGTGGCGCAGATTTGTTTCCTCTCACACATTAAATAAATGACCGTTGTTTATTTTCCGGTCGATGAAATCTTTCTGGAATGAAACCACCTGGACAGACTCTGCTTGATCTCCCTGGACTGGGCGCTGTAGATGACGGGGTTCAGGCTGCCGGGGATGACGTGGAACAAAATGGCGAAGAGTTTCCTCTTGTCTTCGAGCTGAGGGAAGCGGTGCAGGACGATGTTCACCTTCCCGCACAGGAGCATGATCAGGTACACGAAGAGGTGGGTGCTGCAGGTCTTCAGGGCCTTCCTGTTCACCGACTGGTTCTTACGGGTCAGACAGACCACGGTGATCCGAGTGTAGGTCAGAACCATGCTGCCCATGGAGGAGGTGAACAGAACCACGGTGAACGTCAGCCCGTACACGTTGTTGACCACCACGTTCTCACAGGAGAGCTTGAACAGAGAGGCGTTGTCGCAGTACGGGTTTGCGATCAGAGTCCGGCACCGGCTCAGACGTACGGTCAGACCCAGCAGGACCCCCACCAGAACCAGGGCCACCCCCCAGGCAGAAAGAGTCAGTTTGACCACCATCTTGTTGGTCATTATTGCAGCGTAACGCAGGGGGCTGCAGATGGCCACGTATCTGTCGAAGGCCATGATCATCAGAACCGTGTGGGACGTGGTTCCGAACATGTGGGACGTGAAGGCCTGAACCACACACTCGTAATAACTGATGAGGCGCTCCGACGGGGGCTTCAGGACATCGATCAGGACACGAGGCACCATGATGGAGTTACCAAGAACATCGTTAAAGATCAGGTTACACAGCAGGAGGTACATGGGCTGATGGAGGTTCGGGTCCAACAGGATCAGAACCGCCGTGCCCACATTGGTGGTCAAAATAAACATGTAGGAGAAAAGAAAAGAGAGAAACACGGGGTACATGGAAGCTTCTGAGACCTCCAGCCCCTCCATCTGAAGGACCAAACTGTTCAATGTGAAGTTCTCCATCAATCTGAAACAAGAAACATCAAATGAGAAAAACCACAGAAGACTTTACCGAGTTCATTTAAATAAAACACCAATAAGAAATATTAAAAACTGAAGATGGACTGAAGGAAACGTTCAAACTTTAATCACCCGTTACCTGAACGCTCTCTACTGATCTCTTTCACTCCAAACCTGTCCCGCAGCCTTGGGCTTACTTTTATTGGTGCAGGTACTTAGCTGAGAGCATCATCATCATCTTCATCATTATATTCATCATCATCATCATCATCTTCATCATCATCATCAGGGCTGTCACCATGGAGACCCTCAGGGGGACAACACAGCTCAGATGCAGAGGGAGACACTTTATCCACCATTAGGTGCACTGGAGGAGCCAGGGGGGCCATTGGTGGCCTTGGCTCCCATAGATTAATCTTTGGCCACCCCAGTCATTTGAGGAAACTTAACTGTTAAGCAATTTAAAATCCAGAAGGCAGAGTTTCCTTAAATGATAAGGACAGCTTGTTTACGAACAGTATATAATGTGGTGGCCATCTTGGATTCTGACATGGCAACCCATGTTTGAATATGAATCTTTTCTACAACTAGATGCAGCCACGCACCAAAATGGAAGTTCGTACTCACTTATTTTCTTATCGTGACCACAGTACGGACGGAGGGAGGGTGTTTCCAAGTCTCCCTCTTCACCCTGTGACGAGGGACAATTAAAGGCCTGGAACCCACTCAAATCATGGATATCACCTGGAGGAAACATCATCGGCTGTGAATGTTTACAATGAGCTGAAGTTACAACTTTTACCTCTTGCCCTGTAACTGGTCAACTCCTCTTATCACTCTGCTGCTTCGTCTTTGGCCTGAAAGGGACGGGCTGACGGGGTTCCTGGGGGCGCCCCTCTGGACTCTGTTGCATCTACAAGGTAAGACTGAGTCTGTCACTAAAGTGACCTGGAGAGCTGGTGCAGGAAGAACAACCTTCACATCAATATAGGAGGATCTGCAGTGGAAGTGGTCTCAGCCACAAGTTCTTGGGTGTTCATCAGAACAGTGGCGCTGGAATTGGGGGGGGGGGGGGGGGGGGGGGGCGGGGCCCCCCGGGGGGGGGATTGTGGCTCCCCCACTTTATGGCCCTTTACATCCCTGCCCGTCAGCTGGTCCCAGACATTTATGTTCCCTCTAAGACGCTCGCCTTCGCAATCGTGCACTGCTCGCACATTCTCTGTGCACAAGAAATGCTGCGCAGTTAGTGCAACTGCACACACGCCCAAACAAAATGTCTGATTATCTCTCACTTTATAATAAACTGTCAGTGCGAGCGCAGCTCTCTACCTGTCTGTATGCGTGCAGAGTGGAGGAAGGACCCCCCCACCCCCACCCCACCGGTCAAAACAGACCTGTGTCATGTGATTTGTGTAGCGACAACGGAAGTTTACGAAGAGGTAAAAAATTCAAACAATGAAATCACAGGCGAACTTTTATTCCAGCCAGTCAGCGTCTTCTGGAGTTTCAGCGGTGACGTGTGAACAAGCTACGTAGCTACAAACAACCTTGTCTTCTAGCTTTTCCAAGCTTTTACTGCACAGTTCATCACATACCGAGGATTAATATGTGGCCTTGTGGATTTATCACAGAAGTTTACGATCGTCCCACGTCAAACACAGGTGGTAAGTAAACTCATTCCACGACTTGTAGCTGTTTTAGTGTTAGCAAACAGTAGTGCTCGGTGGATGGTCAAAGGAAAAGTTTACAAGACAGTGGTGGGACCAGATATGTTGTATGGTCTGGAGACAGAGACGTGGACATAAAGACAGGAGGCAGAGCTGGAAATGGCAGAATGTTGAGGTTCGTCCAAAAGCCAGCTGGAGTTTTCAGCTTCGCTGTGACGGCAGGTCGCTTTGGAGAAAATGTAGCCAGAGGAGGAGAAGAAGAGAACTTACCTTCTCATCTCTGAACTAACAGAAGAAAATAATCATCATTCAGGCCGTGTGGCAGCAGCTCTGTTCCGATGTCACTCAGAAACAGACGTCACATCATCTCTCCAGACATCTACTGTGCTCGGAACCACTTATCCCCCAATAAACTTCTGCCTTTTTCTTTTCTTTGTCTTTTTTTAAAAACAACGGTAGTTAGTGTATATAT